AGACAACGTATAGAGGGATAGACAATGATCAGAGACAATGTATGGAGAGACAGACAATGATCAGAGACAACGTATGGAGAGATAGACAATGATCAGAGACAATGTATGGAGGGATAGACAATGATCAGAGACAATGTATGGAGAGGTAGACAATGATCAGAGACAATGTATGGAGGGATAGACAATGATCAGAGACAATGTATGGAGAGATAGACAATGATCAGAGACAACGTATGGAGAGATAGACAATGATCAGAGACAATGTATGGAGGGATAGACAATGATCAGAGACAATGTATGGAGAGATAGACTATGATCAGAGACAATGTATGGAGGGATAGACAATGATCAGAGACAACGTATAGAGGGATAGACAATGATCAGAGACAATGTATGGAGAGATGGACAATGATCAGAGACAATGTGGGAGAGATAGACAATGATCAGAGACAATGTATGGAGAGATAGACAATGATCAGAGACAATCTAAGGAGAGATGGACAATAATCAGAGACAATGTATGGAGAGATGGACAATAATCAGAGACAATGTATGGAGAGATGGACAATAATCAGAGACAATGTATGGAGAGATAGACAATGATCAGAGACAACGTATGGAGAGATAGACAATGATCAGAGACAATGTATGGAGGGATAGACAATGATCAGAGACAATGTATGGAGAGATAGACTATGATCAGAGACAATGTATGGAGGGATAGACAATGATCAGAGACAACGTATAGAGGGATAGACAATGATCAGAGACAATGTATGGAGAGATGGACAATGATCAGAGACAATGTGGGAGAGATAGACAATGATCAGAGACAATGTATGGAGAGATAGACAATGATCAGAGACAATCTAAGGAGAGATGGACAATAATCAGAGACAATGTATGGAGAGATGGACAATAATCAGAGACAATGTATGGAGAGATGGACAATAATCAGAGACAATGTATGGAGAGATAGACAATGATCAGAGACAATGTATGGAGGAATAGACAATGATCAGAGACAATGTATGGAGAGATGGACAATGATCAGAGACAATGTATGGAGAGATGGACAATGATCAGAGACAATGTATGGAGGGATAGACAATGATCAGAGACAATGTATGGAGAGATAGACAATGATCAGAGACAATGTATGGAGAGATGGACAATGATCAGAGACAATGTATGGAGGGATAGACAATGATCAGAGACAATGTATGGAGAGATAGACAATGATCAGAGACAATGTATGGAGGGATAGACAATGATCAGAGACAATGTATGGAGAGATGGACAATGATCAGAGACAATGTGGGAGAGATGGACAATGATCAGAGACAATGTATGGAGAGATAGACAATGATCAGAGACAATGTATGGAGGAATAGACAATAATCAGAGACAATGTATGGAGAGATGGACAATAATCAGAGACAATGTATGGAGAGATAGACAATGATCAGAGACAACGTATAGAGGGATAGACAATGATCAGAGACAATGTATGGAGAGACAGACAATGATCAGAGACAACGTATGGAGAGATAGACAATGATCAGAGACAATGTATGGAGGGATAGACAATGATCAGAGACAATGTATGGAGAGGTAGACAATGATCAGAGACAATGTATGGAGGGATAGACAATGATCAGAGACAATGTATGGAGAGATAGACAATGATCAGAGACAACGTATGGAGAGATAGACAATGATCAGAGACAATGTATGGAGGGATAGACAATGATCAGAGACAATGTATGGAGAGATAGACTATGATCAGAGACAATGTATGGAGGGATAGACAATGATCAGAGACAACGTATAGAGGGATAGACAATGATCAGAGACAATGTATGGAGAGATGGACAATGATCAGAGACAATGTGGGAGAGATAGACAATGATCAGAGACAATGTATGGAGAGATAGACAATGATCAGAGACAATCTAAGGAGAGATGGACAATAATCAGAGACAATGTATGGAGAGATGGACAATGATCAGAGACAATGTATGGAGAGATAGACAATGATCAGAGACAATGTATGGAGGGATAGACAATGATCAGAGACAATGTATGGAGGGATAGACAATGATCAGAGACAATGTACGGAGAGATAGACAATGATCAGAGACAATGTATGGAGATATAGACAATGATCAGAGACAATGTATGGAGGGATAGACAATGATCAGAGACAATGTATGGATAGATAGACAATGATCAGAGACAATGTGGGAGAGATAGACAATGATCAGAGACAATGTACGGAGAGATGGACAATGATCAGAGACAATGTATGGAGAGATAGACAATGATCAGAGACAATGTATGGAGGGATAGACAATGATCAGAGACAATGTATGGAGGGATAGACAATGATCAGAGACAATGTATGGAGAGATAGACAATGATCAGAGACAATGTATGGAGAGATGGACAATGATCAGAGACAATGTACGGAGGGATAGACAATGATCAGAGACAATGTACGGAGAGATAGACAATGATCAGAGACAATGTATGGAGAGATAGACAATGATCAGAGACAATGTATGGAGGGATAGACAATGATCAGAGACAATGTATGGAGGGATAGACAATGATCAGAGACAATGTACGGAGAGATAGACAATGATCAGAGACAATGTATGGAGATATAGACAATGATCAGAGATAATGTATGGAGGGATAGACAATGATCAGAGACAATGTATGGAGAGATAGACAATGATCAGAGACAATGTGGGAGAGATAGACAATGATCAGAGACAATGTACGGAGAGATGGACAATGATCAGAGACAATGTACGGAGAGATAGACAATGATCAGAGACAATGTATGGAGAGATAGACAATGATCAGAGACAATGTATGGAGGGATAGACAATGATCAGAGACAATGTATGGAGGGATAGACAATGATCAGAGACAATGTACGGAGAGATAGACAATGATCAGAGACAATGTATGGAGATATAGACAATGATCAGAGACAATGTATGGAGGGATAGACAATGATCAGAGACAATGTATGGAGAGATAGACAATGATCAGAGACAATGTGGGAGAGATAGACAATGATCAGAGACAATGTACGGAGAGATGGACAATGATCAGAGACAATGTATGGAGGGATAGACAATGATCAGAGACAATCTAAGGAGAGATGGACAATGATCAGAGACAATGTACGGAGAGATGGACATTGATCAGAGACAATGTATGGAGAGATAGACAATGATCAGAGACAATGTATGGAGAGATGGACAATGATCAGTGACAATGTATGGAGAGATAGACAATGATCAGAGACAATGTATGGAGATATAGACAATGATCAGAGACAATGTATGGAGGGATAGACAATGATCAGAGACAATGTATGGAGAGATAGACAATGATCAGAGACAATATGGGAGAGATAGACAATGATCAGAGACAATGTACGGAGAGATGGACAATGATCAGAGACAATGTATGGAGGGATAGACAATGATCAGAGACAATCTAAGGAGAGATGGACAATGATCAGAGACAATGTACGGAGAGATGGACAATGATCAGAGACAATGTATGGAGAGATAGACAATGATCAGAGACAATGTATGGAGAGATGGACAATGATCAGAGACAATGTATGGAGAGATAGACAATGATCAGAGACAATGTATGGAGAGATAGACAATGATCAGAGACAATGTATGGAGAGATAGACAATGATCAGAGACAATGTATGGAGGGATAGACAATGATCAGAGACAATGTATGGAGAGATGGACAATGGTCAGAGACAATGTATGGAGAGACAGACAATGATCAGAGACAATGTATGGAGAGACAGACAATGATCAGAGACAATGTATGGAGAGACAGACAATGATCAGAGACAATGTATGGAGGGAAAATGATCAGAGACAATGTATGGAGGGATAGAAAATGATCAGAGACAAAGCTATGTTTTGTGATATATCAAGAGCACAAATAATCCTTTGTCGAGTCACGTGATTGTTGTTATGGTGATGGTACGTGTGTCTGTAGAGGCGTGGAGGTGGGTGGGGAGAGAGGTGTGAAAACCAGATGGATATCAAAAGTGTTATTTTACTCCGCTGCGACTATAACTAAATCCTATTTACATTTCAGCTGACAGTGTTTAGCTAGCTATTTGTGGCTGGAGGGTGCTTCTGTGACAACAATACGTCACCCAGGCATCCAGCACGTTGTAATAGCTGGGATAACACAACGAGCGTGTCAGCCATGTCCTCTGTGTAACGCTGCCCTCTCCCCACGGTGTATGTTGACACACTAACATCTTAGGCGACGGTAGCCTGGGACGGCATGGTCTCAAACGACCCGCCTAGCAAGAACGACAACTCCATACACATATCTTTCACATCGGTGTCACAAGGAAAAGGAACATACCTTGAAACACCGACACAATGCATTGCCTGTACACGCAGGCAATGAATGCTTAGTGGCAAAGGGACTGGTTATTAATTATAGGGGGTGGGGAGGGTGCGGTGAGAGTAGTCTTAGGACTGTATCATAACGGAACCTCTTAGTTTATGTATTTTTACAAGCCCCTCCCCCTTCTATAATAAAAGACCAGCTGTATTCCTCATAATAAAGAATTTGACATCCATATATTCTCTTCCTCTGTCACTTTTTAACATTTAAATTTATAAAATCTTCAAATAAAAATATAGAACTGTGTCATTTGTACATTCCCCCCTCCACACCTTCTTTCGCTGTGTAATTTATTCATGACCTCCATAATCTCCTCTTTCCCCCTTTAACAAATGACCACTCCCTGATTCGTCTTTTCTTTACTAAGCTGCATTAGTAACATGCCTAGCTTTCCACCATATTTAAACCACATTGTACTTGTTACGAACACGCACAGACTAATAAGCATACAACTAAATTCCCTTTATCTCAACAAACAATTCTGTAGAGACACGTTTTTTACAAGGAAGCGTAAAAAAACTTACCGAAACTTACTGGGTTAGTCCCTCGTGTTGTGTGTTGGTGGATTATTGGGCTTCCAAGGCCAGGTCGCCACGTCGACTGGAGATAACAGAGACGGTCGTGGATAGGGAATGTGTGGGTTAACCCAGATACCTGTCTGAAGATAACACACGTCTCCGTGACCTATGAAGTCGTGAGCTTCCCCGGGAAGCCGTCATCATGACAGCGGTGACAGATGACAGTGTCTCCATCGTAACCCGTTGTACAGGGCGAGCTAGATCTTGCCTTTGAGTCACCGAGAATGTCAATCGTGAGATTTTGTGAGCGTGTATCCGGTTATCACACAGTTGCCATTGTAACACATTGCTACATAATCGTGGAGCAATATATGTTAATAATACAGTCTTTGTCCCGGAACCAACCCAAGGATGTTCATGATTTTAATTTGTATGCATTAAACGTTAACGCCTGAGAATAATCAGTGGTGAAAATTGTAGAATAGATCCGGATAACGCGAAAAGGTTGATCATGTCCTGCCCTATCGGTAGCCCCCGCTACTATTTGCACAAGAAGTTAGTGTTTGTTGTCTAACGCCGCACAGCAGTACACCTGCCATACGACGGCGGCCTGTAAACAATCTAGTCTTGACCATACAATCCAGTAATAGTGAACCAGACAATCCAGTGATAGTGAACCAGACAATCCAGTGATTGTGAACCAGACAATCCAGTGATTGTGAACCAGACAATCCAGTGATAGTGAACCAGACAATCCAGTGACATGACAGCACGTGTTCGGATTTTGTTGAAGCTAAAAACTATCTGTAATGTTCGAAAGATAATGAGTATGTTTAGAGGATGCAGACATAATCACACACACACACACACACACACACACACACACACACACACACACACACACACACAAACCACACCGCACCGCACCGCACCGCAACGCACGGCAACGCACGCACCAGACCACATACACACACTCACACCAGTCCACACACACACACACACACACACACACACACACACACACACACACACACACACACACTGGATGTAATCGGTTTCAGGTTTTGGTTGGATGATGATTGCCTCTGTTCATGGTTGGGAGTATCTGTTACCCATTAATAGGACACGGCGTTCAACTTCCACATAATCAAGACTTCTTGCATGGCTTAATGAACGAAGGGACAGCGTTGCCCAAATGTATGCATGCTAGGCAATGAACGTGTAATCTAAGATCCATGTGACCAACGTTTGAAATGTACGTATCACTTGGCCGCCAAACGTTTTGCATATAATACTCAGATCATGAAATACAAGTGAGTGAGTGAGTAGGGTTTTACGCCGCTTTTAGCAATATTCCAGCAATATCACGGCGGGGGACACCAGCAATGGGCTTCATACATTGTACCCATGTCGGGAATCGAACCCGGGTCGTCGGCGTGACGAGCGAACGCTTTAACCACTATGTTACCCGACCGCCCCTGAAATAAAAGAGTACACAAGTAAGTATGAACATTTATAACAGAGATGGGTAAATATGGTGTTCGTTTTCATCTATCATCTCGCGTATGCAACAATATTACATTCTGTTTCATTACTCTTAAATTTTATATGACAGGATTTAGAGCTATACTGTGCTTTATACGCTCCTAAATGTTCGGTCATAGGTAAGTGAAAGATTGCCATATTGGCAAATCTTAGCATTTTTTTAATGGTTCGGTTATGTAACTGAATTATTGGCTCGTTTGTGTGCAGCAGCCACGTCAGTGACGTCATGGGGTAATAAGTAAACATATGGCGAGGGGATCAACTTTATCATGGACCACTGAAGTTTCCTGTCTATGCTGAATATTTGTTAACTCGACTTCATCGAAGCTCTGCATTGAACTGGGAAGTTTTGTTGACAGTCGAAACTGTAAGCATCAGCTGCATCAACACTACATGATGGACTTCCATGCCCCTGTGTATAGTTTGACCACGCCAATTTTGCTTCATCAGTATCAGCTAGTTTGAGATGGTGCTGATGCTGTTCTGTTCTGAATCAGAAAAACCTTCTGTGTGAGAAGTTTGAATCTTTAGTCTGTCACATGTCTCGCAAGTGACAGATCTTGGACCAAATGCCAGATTATAGTTAGTATTGAATACGCGACGGAAAAGCCACAGTTTGTTTTTGCTGTTGTAGCACTTTCCGCCAAGTACAGCTTTTATTCCAGATCTGTCGTGATTTCAAGAAACATTAACTACATTCACCTGGTGCATGGCGTCTATGTGGGTTCTTTTTGCGTGAGTAATGGGAGGAACGACAAAGGAAACTTTGAATAAACTGCCTGATCTAATTCATTACAGAATCATCTATGGTATTTTCCTTTTGCCTGCTTCTCACAATTCGCTTATCCTTGATGTCATTATCCCCTGTGTGATGTTGTAAGCGACGAAGCTGCTTTCTGGTAGGCTCATATATACTGCAAAATACAGCATGACAAACGGAATATGTTATTCCTTCCTGACATTTCGCAGGATATGTAAACGAGTGTTCTCTTTTTCTTGTGCCATCCCGTGGTCGAGTCATGATCTTTTGCTGCATACACAGGTGTGTGTTGTGCCCGTTCTTGTTGCTAGCACCACAAAAGAAGAGAATATCCTCGTCTGGTCATCTCTATCTACATTTGTCGGACATCCCTTGCCACATTTAGGAACATTAAATCGTTAATTTCTTTGCTGGCATTTTCTTGCCACGACTAGTGATGTAGTCTTCTTTTGGGCCTTTTTAGAGTTTCAAATACTTTTCACCCAATCATTTAGATTTCTACTTCTTTTCCTACGTTTTATTTTGCATGTAGCGGGTTCTTGATTGCCATTTGTGCTCACCACATGAGGCACATGTTGGTCATCAAAATCTGCATTTGAAACAGAATTGTCATCACCAACATTTCCACCGACAGGACACTAAGTATCAGAAGTCGGGTCACTATATGAAGATTATATTCTTCAGAACAAACACTATCCTCTGGACAGTTACTGGGGTGATATTCGCCGCAATCATCAGTCTCTGACATACTGCTTTTAAGCGAACCACCAAACATCGGGTGGTGTTTTCAAATAATTTCAGTATCAAATGATGCTGTATTTTCAATATCTTGCAACAACACAGAGAATGAGGTATCCATGTTAATTGCTTCGTCTGAATCACTCGAAGACATCAAGTCAGAATAATATGATTATTTCATTTTCATTGTTTGATGTATGTATGATTGTACTTCATGAGTCATCTCTGTATGATTGAATGATGCAACTTCTGTTACTTCATGAGTCATCTGTATGATTGAATGATCCAACTTCTGTTACTTCATGAGTCATCTCTGTATGATTGAATGATCCAACTTCTGTTACTTCATGAGTCATCTCTGTATGATTGAATGATGCAACCTCTGTTACTTCATGAGTCATCTCTGTATGATTGAATGATGCAACTTCTGTTACTACATGAGTCATATCTGTATGATTGAATGATGCAACCTCTGTTACTTCATGAGTCATCTCTGTATGATTGAATGATGCAACTTCTGTTACTACATGAGTCATCTCTTTATGATTGAATGATGCAACCTCTGTTACTTCATGAGTCATCTCTGTATGATTGAATGATGCAACTTCTGTTACTCATGAGTCATCTCTGTATGATTGAATGATGCAACTTCTGTTACTTCATGAGTCATCTCTTTATGATTGAATGATGCAACCTCTGTTACTTCATGAGTCATCTCTTTATGATTGAATGATGCAACTTCTGTTACTCATAAGTCATCTCTGTATGATTGAATGATGCAACTTCTGTTACTTCATGAGTCATCTCTGTATGATTGAATGATGCAACCTCTGTTACTTCATGAGTCATCTCTGTATGATTGAATGATGAAACCTCTGTTACTTCATGAGTAATCTCTGTATGATTGAATGATGCAACTTCTGTTACTTCATGAGTCATCTCTGTATGATTGAATGATGCAACCTCTGTTACTTCATGAGTAATCTCTGTATGATTGAATGATGCAACTTCTGTTACTACATGAGTCATCTCTGTATGATTGAATGATGTAACCTCTGTTACTTCATGATTCATCTCTGTATGATTGAATGATGCAACTTGTTACTTCATGAGTCATCTCTGTATGATTGAATGATGTAACCTCTGTTACTTCATGATTCATCTCTGTATGATTGAATGATGCAACTTCTGTTACTTCATTAGTCATCTCTGTATGATTGAATCATACAACTTCTGTTACCTCATGAGTCATCTCTGTATGATTGAATGATGTAACCTCAGGGACTTCATGAGTCATCTCTGTATGATTGAATGATGCAACCTCTGTTACTTCATGAGTCATCTCTGTATGATTGAATGATCTAACATCTGTTACTTCATGAGTCATATCTGTATGATTGAATGATGCAACCTCTGTTACTTCATGAGTCATCTCTGTATGATTGAATGATGTAACTTCTGTTACTTTATGAGTCATCTCTGTATGATTGAATGATGTAACCTCAGGGACTTCATAAGTCATCTCTGTATGATTGAATGATGCAAAATCTGTTACTTCATGAGTCATCTCTGTATGATTGAATGATCCAACCTCAGGAACTACATGAGTCTTCTCTGTATGACTGAATGATGCAACTTCTGTTACTTCGTGGGGCATTTCTGCAGAAGGTAGTGATGTGCCAAGACCAAATTGCCACTGCTCTTGACGGCTGAAATATCTTGTAAATCCGCTACAGCAACGTTACCATCTATTCACTGTGCAATACCCCAGGAGGCAAAGTCGTCTCAGATATTAAACTCTCATCGTAATTGTCAGAGTCACAGTTCTCCGCTGAATCAGATGAATCATCATCAAGAAGGCAAGACAACAATTCTGAAGCTTCAACAACAGTGGATCTTTAAGAAGACATTGTAGAAGTTATTCAGGAAAACCTCACTTAAACACATTTCTTCCCGCGTTCGTCTTTTAGATACAAAAGGTCGCCATTGAAGTCACAAACTTCCAGTGCCCATTCACGAAAACGCTGTGTCCCTTCTTCCATGAAGAGATGCAGAAGATGACATAAACGTTCCTGTACTAGGTTGATTAATCCTTCACATTCCAAGAGATTTGTATTGTTGTTTCGGCTGTTTATAAAGTTAATCTGAAAGCATAATAATGA